CCTTCCCTCCCTTCTCCCCTCCCCCCCCCCACCTTCTTCTACTTTATTGGTCTTCTTTCTGGTGATTTATGTATTTTTTGTTAATTGGTGCATCATGGTTTCACATTAAAGTGGACTTCGTGGCCACAGAGTCAACCATGCGCACAGCTGCTGTCTGCCTGGCTCACTGCCCGTTCCCCTTTCCCATCCCTCCTCCCCCCTTCCTCCATCACTGTTCTCCCTTCCTTTTCCCTGAGACCCCTCTACTCCTACACAGGACAGAAAACATTTGACCCTTGACTTCCTGAGTCTGGCCAAGCCCAGTTTTATTCTGTGAATGGAGTAATGGACCCAAAGAGGCTCGTGCATCTTTCCTGAGGGACAGGAGCTCGAACACCCAAGCCCTGGCAGCTGGAAACAGGGTCAGTGCGGCTCTGCTTTCTTAACGATTGCTGCATGTACAGTCTGGAATGGCTCAGGCTGACACTGGCTGCCCGGGCTACTGGGCATTCCTGTACCTTAGCAGTAGATAGGACCATTCCACACAATAACAATGGCGGAATGATTGGAACGACAGAAAGCAGAGGTTGAGTTACTTGGATTAAATGAGATTGGGCAAGGGACATAGGAGTCCGAGGGCAGTACCTGCTCTTGGCTGGGAACTGGCCCTTAGCTGTACAAATGACATAATAGCTCATGAAGTGTTGGTTCAAGTCCCAGCTGTCCCACCTGGTGGCCTATCACACAACTCCATGGGGTCTCGTTTCCTTTTCTGAAAACTGCAGCTCATCAAATCCATTCCCAAGGATCCAGGGAGCCCACTGATTGGGCCATGGGTGCCTTGTACTAGGGCAGATCTGGTCCCACTCAGCAGCTGACTCAGGCTCCATGTCCCCTTCCTGGCTTATTTCCTTTTGGAACCCACCCAGCGTTGGCTTCTGATGATGGCTCTTCTGCAGGGCGTGGACCCTCACACCTCATAACAACGTGAGGTTGCTTGCCTGGCTCAAAAATCCAGTGTGATCCACATAAGCTGAGCACATGGGGCTTGAGGAAGGGATGCCTGGGGTGTCTGTGCGTTGGAGATCAGCTGCCCCCTGAAGTGGAGGGAAAGCCCTGAGACCAGACTGGAGGTGGGCAGACATGGAGAGAACTGCAGCTGTGGTTCAGGAAGCAGGGAGTGCTGGTGGCCGGGGCAGCACCTGCCCCGAGACCCCTGGCACCAGTTCTCAGCTGGGCATCGCACTGGAATTCCTCCTCTGTCGCTGCAGGAGATGCCTCAAGATCCAAGCATTGCAAGGCAGGCACCGACTGGCTGGGTTTAGATGACTGTCCCCACCTCCCCCGAGACTCTGGCCTCTGGAAGTAGGAGGCCTGTGCTGGAAGCTGTGTCAGAGACCCTCTTGGGGGGAACCAGTGCTCTAAATGATCTGCCGTCAGAGAGGGACAGAGAATGAAGGGGCACCGCGTCAGTTAGGAGTTCTCAGTTGTGACCAAAATACCTGGCCAGAACAACTTAGAGAGGAAACCTGATTCTGGCTCACAGTTTTAGAGGTTCAGCCCCCTCCGTTGCTCTGGGCCCAAGATGAGGCGGAGCCTCCTGGTGGAAGGGCATGGTGGGGGGCACTGCCCTGTTCATGGAGCCAGGAAGTCAAGAGAGGAAAGGAAAGAGGACCCAGGAGGGCTGGCACCCTCCAGGACACATCCCCATTGTCCTACCCGCTCCAGCCAGGTCCCTCTTGCCTGTAGGTACCACCCAGTCATTCCATTCAAACTAGGGTGAACTGATTAGGCCACAGCTCCCGGAATCTCACCATCTCACCTCAGAACACTCCTTCAGTAACCCAGGAGCCACTGGGGGAAGCTCCCAACACAGTATGCACCGAGTCACCCTGGGCTCTTCCCACTTTCCGTTTTTGTGGCAGGGGTCTTGGCTGGCCTGCCTCTTGGTACACCCAGGGGAGTTCTCACAACACCAAATGGAGTGACCAATTTGACTTCTAGACCTATTTCTGAGGTGGAAAATCTGCTTCCTGATTAACAGACAGCCCGGCATTGTGTTGCTTTTGGTCTGGTGGGAGGGGTGGGGGTGGAAAGAACGTTTTTAATGAGTTTCTAGTATATGCAAGAGGTTGTGCCGTGCACTTCACATGCATCTCTTTTAGAAGTAGAGATCTTGGACGTATGCTACTTTATTTTTCAGAGAAAATACTGGGATTCACAGGACTCAATACTAGAAACCATGAGTAAGTCCACTAGAAATTGTCTCTCATTAAATTAAGTCAACAGCTTAATTGGACGGAAATGGAACAGGGGCTGACAGCGTCGAAGAGGGGAAGCAAATGGATCAGATTTGGTTGGACACGACAGGAGCCAGGACTCTTGGGACATAGCGGAAGCCAGTGGGCCTCCCAGGGGTATCACCCTGGGATGTCCCCAAGCCTGTGGCATTGTGGACAAGATGCACTGTTTTGGGCGGGTGAGTGATTTTCCTGGGTGTCTCCCCTGGATAG